GAGCCTTCCGCCCCTAGAGGCCGCCAGGAGGCCCCCAGGAGGCCCCTCAAGAGGCCCCGGGAGACCCCAGACGTCCAAGGACGCCCCCAAGAGGCTCCAAGAAGCCTCCAACATGGTCCCAAGAGGGCCCCTAGACGCAAGAATTGGCCCATTCCCTTCGTAAAACGTACATTTTTAACAAAGTCGCCTTTTGGGCTTTCCGACGTTACAGGACGGCCCAAGAGGCGCCCAAGACCGCCCCAAGACGGCCCAAGAAGTTCCCAGAGGGCCCAGGACAGCCCAAGAGGGCCCCAAGACGGCCCAAGAGGCGCCCAAGATGGCCCAAGAGGGCCCCAAGACGGGCCCAAGAGGGGGCCCAGAGGGGGACCACGAACCGCAAGCTCGAGCCTTCCGCCCCAAGAGGCCGCCAGGAGGCCCCCAGGAGGCCCCTCAAGAGGCCCCAGGAGACCCCAGACGTCCAAGGACGCCCCCAAGAGGCCCCAAGAAGCCTCCAACATGCGTCCCAAGAGGGCCCCTAGACGCAAGAATTGGCCCATTCCCTTCGTAAAACGTACATTTTCAACAAAGTCGCCTTTTGGGCTTTCCGACGTTACAGGACGGCCCAAGAGGCGCCCAAGACCGCCCCAAGACGGCCCAAGAAGCTTCCAAGAGGGCCCCAGGACAGCCCAAGAGGGCCCCAAGACGGCCCAAGAGGCGCCCAAGATGGCCCAAGAGGGCCCCAAGACGGGCCCAAGAGGGGGCCCAGAGGGGGACCACGAACCGCAAGCTCGAGCCTTCCGCCCCAAGAGGCCGCCAGGAGGCCCCCAGGAGGCCCCTCAAGAGGCCCCAGGAGACCCCAGACGTCCAAGGACGCCCCCACGACGCTTCGCGTCACCAATTTCTTCTCACAACGATTCCTGGGTCTGTGACTCGACAGAACCAAAGCGCGCGCGAAGCGCGCGCGTGGTTCTAGTATATATATAATATATATATATATATATATATATTATATATATATATATATATATATATAAATATCATTATTCGTACGTATTACATGACATATATATATATATATATATGTTTTTCTTGCTTTTCTTGCTTTTCTTGTTTTGGCTTTTCCGGCGAGCCGAGCCTGATGAACGAAGGGAACCCGCCAGGCTAAGACTCACCCGTGCTCAGTCTCTCGTAATTTGACCTATCGTCTTCGTTCGTGTTGCGTACCCCCCGCGCAATTCGGCGCGCCCCTCGCGAGGTTCGTAGCCCCGTAGGGGGCGCCGCCGAAAAAAATATTCGCAATTGCGGTTCTCGCAACTGCATGTGGTTGGGTCCTTCGCCGGGTTATTTTTAAAGACAACCGTCGGTTTGTCGGCACTTTCGCCCAATTCTGCCAAATGGGGCCCTCGCGCCGCATGTCGAAATCATGCATTCGAGTGCCCTTGCGCGCGCGCTGGTGGGGTGCGCGATCCGCGGGGCACTCTCGCGCGTCCGCCGCGCGCGCATGTCGAATTCCCTGCAACATTGTCATCGCCGACGCTTGGGCGCCGTCGTCGTCGTCGTCGGCGCGATCGGCGTCGGCGCCGTCGCTGGCCTTGTTATCATCGTTGCATTCATCGCCACCTTATCACCATCAGCATCATCATCTTCGCCATCGTTGCGGGTGCCGCTGGCGACATTGACGCGTTACCGCGCCCGCCCAAGGGGCCGACTCGCATTGAGGTGTCCGCTGGGAAGTGCCCAGCGGTGAGCGCCACTGCGGCCGCGTCGGTCGCGCCAACCCAGCTGGCCGCTTCGCGTGCGAGCATGCGCGGGCTAGCGCGGCCGCAGAGATGCACCAGCCAACGCCGAGCATTCATCGCAATCGCCGCCGCATGGGCTTGCAACCCAAGTTGCGGGAGGGCGGGTTGGATGACTGCGCGAGCAGTGGAGTTGGCAGCGCACCGCGGACCAAACTTACTTGCCACACGTAGATGGTTCCACGTCGACCCACGCGCAGTGCACAACATAATTCGCACCACATTGATGGCGCACCACAGCTATTGTACAGCATGGGTCCCGCCGCGCATTTTGCGCAACATCTGCGTGCGTCTCACGCAGTGCACCGCGTAAGTTGCAGTTCGTAATTTGCGCAGCGTAGATGGCACCGCGCGTATTCTCCGTCATAAAGACTGCCCCCCCCCCCGCCCCCCGGATTATCGACGTCTTTTGGGGGTGCGTGACATTGTCTTAGTATTCAGCTGCGCCTTTCATTGTGAATCTGGGCCCGCGCTATGACAGCCCAGCCTGCGCACCCCTGCCATCTCCTGAATGGAGATGCCGTGCGCGCGCGCGCTCGTTCAGCAAATCCTGTCCATTCCGCAGCCCCTTGATGGGGTGCGCACGCGCGCGTCGTCGCGCGCGCATGCTGGCTTTCTGTTGAAAGCTTAGATGCTGAGCGGGAATGGGAATATCGCGTGTCCCGAAACATCTAAAACCCACCTGGCTTGGCAACGTTGCTTTTCAAAGAAAAACTGCCCTCGCCTATGCTCGTTGTTCGGGCAACCGCGTGGTCACCGACATACTCATCAAATTCGACCGAGCGGGTCTGTCGCGCGCGCGTGTCGGAATCCGTCGAGAGTTTTTTGCATGATTGCTGGTCGGGGGCGCGGTCCCCATCAAACCACGTCCTGCGAGTCACTTGAGCCCGTCGGCTGCGTGCAGATGGTGAATCCATTCCACAACCTTCACCGCCAACGCGTGGACACCATCATTGTCTCCAGCGTGATCCGCATCGACGCCGTCATTGGCCTTGCCGTCGTCATCGTCATCGTCGTCACCCTCATCGCTACTATCATCATCGTGTCTACCGTTGTCGACGTCGCCATGATACGTCGCTATGATCACCGGCTCGCACTGAAGTGCCCGCGCGCCACCGCGGCATTGTGTACGCGTAATGAACTGCCCAGCGGTCATCGCTACCGCGGCCGCGTCGGCCGCGCCCAACTAGCTTGCCGCTGTGCGCGCGAGCGTGCGCGGGCTCATGCGGCCTCAGCGATGCACCAACCAGCACCAAACATGCATCGCAATCGCCACCGCATACGTTTTGCAAACCAACTTGCGGGTGTAGTGGTGGGACTATTGCGCGAACATTGAAGTTGGTAGTTCCAAGCTTCCACAAACAACTTCACACTTTAATTTACGCAGCACACATTGCGCAATTTATGTTGGCAACGTCCGATGCACACCATCGTGTGCACAACTTGTAGCACAGACGGAACAATGTTGGACGTATACTTATGTTGCACTGCATCGGTTGATGGCACAACGTGGACTCAACCACATTGACGGCGCCACATATATTGCACCACGTGGGTTGACAAACGACAACATATCTTTGCAAGGCAAGCAACGTTCAAGGTCCAGGCTGTCTAACACACAGAGGACGAAACGCGTGCGACACCGAAGGATGCACGGGGAATGGGCGCCCAAGCGATGGCAAGACCATGCCACCCCCAGGCCGCCTCGCGCCGTGGGGAGGTCAGAGCAAGAGGTTGGCTGGCCATTTTCGGCCCCGAGGGCCCTCCTTCACTGGGCCTTGCTCAGGGACGGTCAAAAGACGTCTGGGGATGAAGGGACCGCGTTGGGAAGGGTTCGGCCCCCCGGGGCTCACGCCCTGACCAAACAGGCGGCGCCTGATGGGATGGGATGGGGCCTCCACCGCGACCGCGAGGCATCCCAGGGCCTCGGATCGCCATTCAGTTTTTTCGCCACGGGTCGTCCGCGACGGCCAGTCTTGCCCCAGTATCGTCCTCTGGAGGCCCGTGTCGGGCCCTGGGGTTGACAGAAGACGAGTCGTGGGAGACTGATCCCTGGCGTGAAGTCCAGAGGTCCGTGGGCCCATTTCACAAAGAAGTCATGACGTCGGGTGTCTAGGTTGACGCGGCGGCGACGGTGGCGCGGACAGTCTAGGTTGAAGGCCACTCGCGGCTTAAACCAGGCCAGTCTTGAACAGTATCCGCTGTCGGATATCGGAGTTTGCTCAAGATCGGACGAGTTCCGCGGTATCAGGAACCAACGTTCTCGTCAACGTTATATACAAGAACCCCAGGCCACAAGCGTCGCATTTTTCCCTTGGATGTGGGACCTCGGAGGTCTGGAGCCCCTCCCCAGGGTCGGTTTAAGAAATTCCGAGCCGTTCTTGTCGCTTTGGGGTCCAAGTGAGGGCCCCACCCGATGCCCGGACCGGCAGCAGCATTGAACAACACCTCCCGCTTGGGTGCGGGCTAATCAAGCCTTCGGAGGTAGATCTCTTGGATGGGCGCTGGACCGTCTGTCCCAGGCGTGCGCAGTGGGCCAGGGGCGGCGCGGGAGGCGCTCCAAGCGGAGGTCCAGCGAGGATTCGAGAGCTTCGCGCGGACCTCTCACACTTTGTGTGTGTGTGTGATTATGTACAGTCTTTCCTTGTTCCAACGTCCTGAATCGTTCCACGCCGCGAGGGTCTTGGGCAACACTGGGGAGGTCTCAGGGGGGGATGCACCGACCCCCAATTGCTCATCCATCGCCGATCGGGGTCTGATAGCCCACACCGCTTAGGACCGCGCGGACGTCCTATCGGGAGCCTATCGCCGATCTATCGACGTCTCGCCGATTCAAGCTCGATGTTCCCCGCCCTGAGCTGTCCCGCCCCTAACGTTTCCCTGCAGAGGGGGTCTAGGACCAGGCGAACCCCGCATCTTCGAGCAGATCTCCGCGAAGTGTCGGCGCACAGACTGCCAATTGAACGACGCTAAACAATCGGTTCGACTGCGCCGTCATTCACGCGTGAGCTGCCCGCGTGAGGTCGTGCGTAAACGCCCTCGTTTCCAATGTAGCGTTTCACGCTGGAGGTCCGCGTAAGGCACCGCGTAAGGTCGCTATGCCATCTCTCGCAAGACTCGTTGATTGTCGGCTTCCGGCGTTGCAGTGTCGGCGCGCAGACCGCCACTTTTTGTCTTCTCTTTGCCCTCCGCGGCGACCGCGGGTTTCCGCCGCCGTGGCCGCAGGACCGAATCGGCGTGCACATGGACTGGACCGACAGCAGGAGCCGCCAGAGGAGGAGGAGGAGGAGGAGGAAGAGGAGGAGGAGGAGGAGCGCACGCATTCATGATGAGTTGTGCTGTCTGTGGGGCCAGCAGCACTATGCTGGCTGGCCCTCCCCCTGCAACTCTCACGCGACTTGGGCGAGGGGTGGTATGGGCCCGGAAATCACAGCAGGATATGCTCTTCCTTCCGGGCGTTGTCCTGCAATCGTTCTCTGTAATTCCAGGGTCCTACCACCTTTTGGGAACGTTTGTGGGCATTTTTTCTGGAAACCTTCGTGGCAAGGTTTGCCGAATGAGCCACATCTGCGGCACAAATGGATAGATACGGCAGGTTCGCGTCGCGTCGACCAGCGGCGACCCATCCGCGGGCGTTAAACGTTGAACGCCGCCAGCAAGCCATACTCGGTCGAGGCTGCACGATCTTACGTGTCGGCAACGGCCGATCGTTCAAGGTTGAACGACCTCTGCGGCGTAAGAAACCAACGCCGAGGCACGACACGAATTTGCCGTATTCCAAGGGACGGCATCATCGGCGTAGTCATATATTTACATATATATATATAGTCATGCATATACATATATATTTATATGTGTGTTTGTATATGTATGTATATGTATATGTATATGTATATGTATAGGTATATGTATATGTATATGTATATGTATATGTAGATGTAGATGTAGATGTAGATGTATATGTATATGTATATGTATATGTATATGTATATGTATATGTATATGTATATGTATATGTATATGTATATGTATATGTATATGTGTGTTGATATATATCTATATATATGTATATGTGTGTATTGCCCACATGGTTGGACGCTGGACCGCCACATTAGACGGTGAGTGAAGTAATCTGGATCCTGCGCCTTCCTTGCGAGGCGCCTCTGACTGCTGCATCCTACTGGGCATGCTGCGCAAATCCAGCTCGGGCGATGCCTCAACCACCGGCGGACCCTCCCTGAGAGTCTTCTCGGGGAAGGGAGGGGAGGCCTGGAGGAGCCGGAGGAGGAGGAGGAGGAGCAGGAGGAGGAGGAGCAGGAGGAGGAGGAGTTGCAGGAGGAGCGGGAGGAGGAGGAGGACAAGGAGGAGCAGGATGAGGAGGAGGAGGAGGAGGAGCAATGGACTCCCGAGGAGGGCCCAGCCGAGCCCGCCCCCGTGGCCGGGTTCGGGGTCTGTTCGGTCCTATCACGAGTCTTGCCGTCAGCTTTCGGGGGCACCGATGGCCATGGTATGACGGCTAATAGGAGGACGAGGAGGACGAGGAGAACGAGGAGGAGGAGGAGGAAGAGTTGGAGAAAGAGGAGGGGGAGGGGGAGGGGGAGTAGGAGGAGAAGGAGGTGGAGGAACAGGGGGAGGAGGAGGACAGCAGCATTTTTTGTCTGGTCCAATCTGGCCCTGTCCTTCTTCTCGACGCTACCTCCGCTTGCGCCCTGCTCTCCACTTTCTCCCACCCGAATGCACCTCTGCCACATCAAGCTTTTCGGGCAAGTTCTACGCAGGAGCGACCCCCCGCCTTTCCGTCGTGCTGTGCCGCTGGGACAGCAGCGACAGTAATAGCTCGAGCAGTAGTAGCAGCATTCACAGTGTATACTCGAATTTAAAGATCGGTCCGAGTGCAGGAGGAGGATAGCATGAGCCAGACTAGAGTGCCTGGGTGGCAAACCCCCACCCTGGGAGCGGCCGCTGTTTATGACACCAGGCCGCCCCTGACCCTTTGGGGACAGCCCTGTTCGAGGGTCGGCGGGGGTGGGGTGTCTGCCAGCTCCCGATCACAGAGCGCCTGCGGCACAGTGACACACGGCGCCGCAGGAGGAGGACTACCAACGCAAAGTCGGAGGAGGGCCAGGCGAAACGTCGCCGGTTCGCCCCGACGTATCGCCCTTTTGTTGGGTTTCTCATCGCCACGGGTGGGCCCGCTTTGCCCAACGGACCATGGTGGGTCCTGGGGGGCAGATTTGAGCGGAATTTGACTACTGATCAGCGCGAGAGAAGCGAGGGCGATCACACTGGCTCAAGGCAGTTCGAAGCGGCAAAGAAGAAACCAATACCTCGGGGGCGCAGGCGTCGGGCGCAGGCGGTCCAGGAAGGCGTGGGACCCGCAATCGTTTGGCCAGTCCGTATATTTGGACGTGCGTGCGCTTCGGTGTGACGCATGAGCCTTATCAGGTGCCTTGCCAATCTTGTACCGCGACCCCAGCATCAAAAACAGGTGCGCCCAGACATACCGCTCAATGACCAGCATCATCGACGAGGGCATCGGACACCTCACTCCGGTCATCCAACAGCGAAGTTAGTGGGTCGATGCGGCGTTTATCTTCTCAGCGGACAACGGCGTTCTCACTTGCGGCGCCCATTGTGGTAACAACTATCCCCTGCGCTGCGGCAAGACGAGCGATTTCGAGGGCGGCGCCCGCTTGAATGCATGTGTGGGCCGCGGCTACGTGCCCCCTGGCGTTCGAAACAATGATCACACAGGCTTGATGGCGCTCGTGGGGGTGGACCCTGTCGACGATTCGCGGCGGATCCACAATGAGTCTTTTGGGAGTAGCGTCCCAGGGATCGACGGTGTAGATCAGCGGCCCGTCATCGCGTCGCCAAATGCCAGCGCGCCCGCGAGAGACAAGATCGTATTGGCATGCTGAACGAACGTCGGTGTCGCCCCTCACGATTGCGTATCGTCGACCAATGGTGCTGTGGATACTTCGAGGTATGACCAGGTGGTCCTCATTGCGGACGGCGGGCGATGGAAGTGGTTTTCGGGTAGCAGCGCGGCTTGGGGTTCTTCACTGGACCGCTGCATCCAAGCGGCACCAAGAAACACAGGTACGCTGGCTGTCCTTCGGGTTGTCTCTTCAATCTCTTCGACGATCCAGCAGAGCAGCGCGCGCCGACGTCAAGGAGAAGTATCCGCGCGTCTGCTCCAGGCTCAGGTCGCGCCTGGAGGAGATCGGGAATGCGGTGTTCCAGGCGAGCTACACCGATGTGCCGCAGGGCAGAGAGTGACTGTCTGAGAGCGATGCTCTTGCCAACTGCGACGGGCAGCGGCGGCGTCTCCAGATCGGCGCAGCGGGCGCGCAGGCCGCGGTTGCCACCGCTCCTGGCGGCAGGGGTGGTGCCCGCGGGCTCCGCCGAAGCGCCTGCTGCGTCGGGGGCGGTGGCGGCGGCCTCGCGCGGCAGCGGGGTAGCTGCAGCGCCGGCGGCGCCGGCGGCTCACTTCCATTGTTTTTCCGCTTGCGCACTTGCCAACTGTTTATATATAGGTTATAACCTATGTTATAACTGCACAACCATACTTGTAAACCATGTTATAAACCATCAACCGTTTATAAGTGCGCCATATCTATAACTGTTTTGGCGCCGCTTGTATTCGGTTACAAGTGGCTTCGCGTACTTACAAAGCGTTTGCGCTGAACCATCTTAACACGCTTATAAACAGTTAAGAAAAATTAGAAAAAGTTACGAAAAGTTATGAACAAGTTAGAAACACTTCAAAAAAGTTATTTTCACTTATGAAAAATTAACATAAATTATCTTACACTTACAAATAGTTACGAACAGTTATGATCATTTAGTTGACAGCGTGAATGCGCGGGGAAGCGGCGTGGCACGCTGGGGAAACCTTTGGTTGAGGGTCGGCGGGATTATTGTGAAAGCCAATGCAAAGTCTGCCTTCCTCTAGGCCCACACTCCTGTGACACCCTCGCTGGCGTTGGTCGAGGCACGTTGGATAGACAATTTGACCTAGAGAAATGAGGGAGCGCCCCCTGTGCCAGCACGGGCTCAGGGATAGAAGGGTTGGGTTGTTCTTTGATCGTTGGCTGTCTTTTGCTCCTGTAGCCTGTGGTGTTGGGTCCTCGTTTTGAAGAGACAGCGGCCCGCGTCTCCTCTTCTCCTGCTCCTACTCCCCCTCCTCCCCTTCCTCCATTGTTCCCCTTCTCTGCTCTCAGCATGTCAACTACTTCGGCACGCCACTCACGCGTTTCTTGACCCCTTTGGGAGTTCCACCGAAGGCCCCAATGGCAGGGCCCGCATGCCTCCACCCCACCCGCGCTCGCAACCCCTATGGGGAGCTCTACCGAAGGCTTCAGTGTCAGGGCCCGCATCCCACCCCACCCCTCACACGTTTCGTGGCCCTGAATTGCGGTTCTCACAACTGCATATGGTTGGGTCCTTCGCCAGGCTATTTGTGTTTGTTTTGGGGGGGGCCTGGCCCGAGTGCTCTCGCCTCAGCGGAGGACACGTCCCTGGTTGGGAATGGTGCTCTCGCTCCCGCTCCAGATCCTCCCTGATTGGGCTCTCGCCTCAGCGCGTGCCCGGAACGCGCGGGGCTGTCCCGGGCCCACGTCCGCCAATCCTCCTCCGCATCGTCTGGGTGGCACTCGACCTCCCCCTCCTCTCCCCGCCCCCCTCCGCAGCATTTTTTGGCTCTGGTTTTTTTGTGTGGACGCTTGTCTGTGCTCCTCTACATCACTAGATCCCATCCCTTCTTCCGAGCGGCTCGCCACTGAGATGGCGGTTGCGCCTGCTTTGAGGTGCGTGAGCTGCAAGCGGGAGATGGACACGGCAATGCTCAAAGAAGCGGGACGTTGCGCAGACGGGACGCCCCTTTGGAGGTGCACTGACTGCAACAGCCTGCGCGGCAAGATGAACCGCCTGAAGAAGGGGCAGCCCGACCTCGCTGACGATTGGAAGGAGCTGCCCGCCGAGGTCAGGGCGGCCCACATTGCCACGCTCAACCAGCTCTCCGGTGATGACCTGAAGAAAGCGGTGCAGGACATCGTGACTGAGCAGCGGATCCTCTCGGACATTAGCCAGTTCGGCGGCCACTGCGACCAGTGGAAAGACGAGAGCGAGTTGCTGGAGAAGTACAAGGGCAGGGCCTTCCAGGCCGCCAACATCATGGCGAATGCGCGGTCCATCATCCACCCCACTCGGCAGGTTCAGGTCTGGGAGGACGCCGACATCAGGAGCGCGAACTTCATGA